AAAATTAATGGTTTACAGACGCAATAAACATTGGGTAGTAATCCTTTAGCTTTGTGATAGAACCGTTAACCTAAATATACTCAACCAAGAACCCTCTCCATTTTGGCACTCTTTTGTATTAAATTCGACTGTTTGTGCACGACCACTAGTTAGCTAAGCACGCACACGGATTTAGTAACATTGATCACAAAGGCTACTTCCTACTTTGGACAATCAAATAGTTGTTCGTGCTGAGAGTTTCCAGTCTAACGCTATATTCTTTTCAATTGGACTGGAGGATTTGCTTGTGATGAGAGCTGTCTGCAAGCCGAAATTGTAAACACCAATTTACGCTAATGTTCACGTTTCAAATCGGGGTCATGAGAAAAAACATGAACAAGGCCTAACCTTGAGGAACTCAACAACCAATCACAGCAGACTTAGCGTGTACGGATATCACTCGTGGATATATCACCGGACTGTCCAAGAAACAGCAACAAAGAGATGACAGAATAACCTTTAGCAGGAAAACAACCAATCAGAAGACTTTGCTTCTCTGCCAACAATAACGAATAATGATGTTCATAAAAATCTATAAACATCTGTTGATTTTCTCAATAAAGGATCTGTTGCCTGGCCCTTGTCTTCTGTCGCCACATGCTTATTACAGTATCTATCGTATCATCTTACCACCAAGAAGAGCGTTTCATTTATTCACTAAGCCACGTATACCTTAGAACTTTGACTGCCAATAAATAATAAAAATCAACCGAAAGTCTACTAGATATGATCTCGCTTAAACTGTAACCACTACAGAACATATATTCTATAATGCATTATAATATGTTGCATAAACCATAGAAAGTGACAGAAATACAATCGTATTCTAAGTAAATCTGCCTTTTCGAGGCTTAAATATGAAGGTGAAGATTTCTCAAAGAAAATAAACAAGTGACTAAACTGTGCTATCTCTAGAACCCACCGAGAATTAAAACTGTCACACACCTGTATCAAACATTTCGCCATGATATGATTATAAGCCATAAATTGTACTTTAAAAAAATCATCAGTAAATAATACTGTATCCCAGTGTGCTTTTATCAAATAAATTTACTCTATGATGGAATCCTGAAAGACTACAGAAGACATTCACTGCCAGTATCAATTGACTTTGATAACTCTTCAGTACAAACGAAAACAAGTAGATTAAAATGATAAACGATTATCCACCTGAATCTTTGAGTAGAAACTAAAACATTTATGAGTCTTATAAGTGACATTTATGTGAACAATACAGTTATATGATGCACCTAACACAAAATCAGCATATCGAAAGCTTTGATCGCCATAAACAAAGAGACTTTAATTACACTTGGGTTTAACGAAGCCATAGTTACCAAACAAACGCAAAGAATGAAATGTTAATTGTCCATGTACTACCTTAGTGACTAGCGGATTGAGTTTCAATGTAGGACTTTGCAAACAACTGCAGCAGTTCCATTATCGCAGCTTTTGCGCCTATGGAAGTGTAAGGGTGATTATTACTCCCCAGCTGCCCACACCAAGGAAGTTGATTACCTCTCAGATTGCCTGGAACAGAAAAAGTAGGGCCCAAGGCACAGCTGCTTGAGACCAGTAATACACGGCCTGTTTGAAGTGGTTTCTGGAGTTTTGTTCATATTATGATGTTACCTCGGGCTGCAGACCATTGCAATGGTAAGTCGGGACGTACAATTACTAGAGTCGACTTTGTCTAGCCCCCACCCCACCTCAACTCCTCAGTGTGGAAACAGCATAGCTGGCTAACTGTTTATGTGAGGGAAAAAAAAACACTGTTGTTACATCCCTATTTGCCAGCGTACGAATTCGCTCACAAGCCCCCGGACATGAAGTAAACGAATTACACTACGGTAACCACTCTTAGTATAACAGCTTTCCAAACAGCCTTTTTAGCATGATAAAACCTGCAGGAACATTAATTCCAGCTAGTTGGCATGTCGGATCACTGAAATATACAGACCCGGCCATCCCCTCAAGGTAGCAGCTATCATCGGCTAAGTACTACCTTAGTAATATGTGATTTTCTCAAACTACTCACCCATTTTAGCACTCCCTTTTCTCTTATACAATTATCTATTTAGAATGAAACTTTTCATACATGCTTACGTATACCTGCATTTCTCTTACTGATAAAATCCTCTGACTTGTCTTATAAGCATACTTAGGAGCCCGCCTCCTGTCCCACTAAATTATAAAAAAGAAGAGATGTTCAGCGAAGGGTGACTCTTTTCAGTCATATCATTCTCAAGATGAAGGATAGCATATACATTTACACATTGTCATCTGCAAAGTATACAGGAATCTTGGCCATAAAGCGTACGAATCAAACTTCTTCAAACTGCAGTAGCTTACAACAAACAATCCTTATGTAAATTCATAAACTCTGTATAAAGAAACTTGTTCAATCACTAAATTTACAATGAATTCGACCCATAATTCTTCTGCCCTTTCCCACTATTACACCTCTACTTACTCCGTTAAGATACTGATATTGGCCTTCTCTCAACTTTAGTTGAACTCTACTACTAAATCCTGCCAACTGTGTTGTACCCACTCGATCTACTCTACCTGGTAATGTCATCATTGTATTATGCAATGTTCTTTAGAATCTCTTAAATGTTATCTAAAAGTCAAAACTTCCTTGAGTTGTTGTGATAATGTATTATGTATACATTTTCATGAGATTTCAACGCTTGAGAATGATATCGGTAAAAAGAGTAACTGTTCGTTGAATGTCACTTCATTTTTATAAGTGGAATTAAATCTCACATGTTTGAGACGTTGGTTATCTCATACATAGGTACAGATTGTAAACTTCTCAACAGTGATCACAGTCTGTGAGCATGTTAACATGCGTTAACTACTTTCTTAGGTTTTATTTATCTAAACAGAAACCCATGATAAATTATATCACATTATCTTGTTTCATACTACTTCTAATTGAGTTGATTAAGGTTTCGTAGTGAACAACGTTCAGTTTTACTACTCCTACTTACTTACTTTCAAGCGCTTTTATCTTACATCTAACAAACTAAAAATTAAAATGAATTATATCTATTCTGCATTTATTTGGTCGACAGTGATAATACGTGAGACAGAAATAAAGCATTTAAGATAATCTATTATATTGAATATTTTTTTAGTTGAAAAGCTTCTGTAAAACATCCACACTGACTTCTTATTAATTCAAATGAATATAGTCATAACTCGCTTTGACTTTACAATGACCAAACAAATCTTAATTAATAACCTAACTACTCTTAGTCAATCGTGAGCCAGAGGTAGCATCACTGACTGCGATACTGTTTAGTGCGGCTTCGAATCTCACAGGAGACATGAGCTCCATCACAGTTGCAGATACGCCTTGAAGGCGTTGTAATGTGTCCAAGTCCTCCTACGGATTACCCTCAACTATATAACATCAATTCAAAGTTCAGTGTAATGTTTAAGCATCTGGCTTGTTGACCACAACGCAAACTTGACTGATAGAATTCAGTCTACACCAAAACCAAGGACGAGACGCATGACACTGGTTACTGTTTAGTGACCAATCAGTCAGTGTATATATAGAGTGTTTGAGGAGACTAATTGGTTTACAAGTGGATCATGAACTAGCTTCAATTAAAGAGAACCACTAAAAACCAGGGAGTACTGGACAGCTGCTTCGTCCTAGCTTTTATTAACTTTAGGTTTTAGCTTATTAACAGCTTTCACAGCTGTGTCTACAGCTAACTGTATGTTGTGCCAGGCTACCTCAGGGGAAGTCCTGCTGTCGACCTCAGAAACTCGTTTCGCTATTTCTTCTTTAAATAAGGACTCAGTGTCTCGATCTAGTTGGGGACGTAACTGTTTCGCTGCCGTCAATTTCTTATGTCCATTTAGTCGTAAGCATAAACGTGCGCGAACCAGAGTCTACGCACGTGTTCCAGAAGGAGCGACAGTCTTCTACTGACCCTCGCCAACGATACCCTATCGCTATGTGATCTATCTGAGTCCAGCGTTGATTTGGTGATGGAGGTCGCCAGGTTACACGATGCCTCTCTTTGTGCCTAAAGTTAGTGCTGACTAGGAACAGATGATTATCTGAGCAAAACTGAAGACGATCACCGTTGTCGGTTCGTCGGTAGGGAACTCCATACGTACCACTTACATACTTCTCAGTCTGGCACAACTTCCCTACTTGGGCATTGAAGTCGCCTGCTAAAACAACTATGTCTGAACGTTTTGCTTTTTGCAGCAAATTAGACAGTTTCAGGTAGAAGTCATCTTTTAATTCATCCGAACTGCAGTCTGTTGGGGCGTAAGCGGAGACTATGAAAAAACAACGATGGGTAACGCCGTCCTTCCTTCTTCTAACAGACCTGTTCAGACGGACCTCACACATACGACTATCTGCTGGGATCCAGTCAAGAAGTGATTTTTCCGCCCTAACACTCAGTGCTATCCCTACACCTGCGAGTCCTCGTGAGCTAGCTGAGGGGTCTCCCGACACCCTTAAAGTGAATTTTGCAGATTCACCTTGTTGACCGGGTGAGGTCAAGTGAATGACCACACTCGGGTCTTGTATGTGTGTCTCCGAAACACAACATACATCCATGGCTCTACATTCCAGAGTTCTTGCTAGTGATGCCTGTTGTCCGATTTGGCAGAGGGTCCTGACGTTAAAAGCTCCTATATGAAGTTGGCGACGTTGGTTTAAAAGGCTATCTGGGGTGTTTCTATGGCTCTCATCGTTGTTTGTGGTTGCAGAGTGAAGTGAAGATGACTCACTAGCTTGGGATTCTTCGGCAGTACGAATGCATGACCCCTATCGGAGGTTGGACCCATCACCTTCAGGTTACAAGGCGAACGCGTTAACCATTCAGCCGCTGGGATGAATATTGCACATTTGACTTTCAGTTATGTCAGAAATGTGCAGAAACTTATCTTTCAAATAAATAAGCAAATAAATAATTCTTTATAGACACTAAATATCACCAGCTTAGAGATATAGAGACCTAACGCACAACATATATATATATATATATCGCATTTGATAAATTACTGACAACTTCCAGTCCACCAAAAGCTAAGCAAGTAAGTGTGTGTTTTTTAGAAAACAAAAACTCAAAAAAAATGATTGACTTCAATAGACAATACAATAGGAGAATAACAGAAGAAAAAAAATGAAAAGTTATCCTTATACATACATACATGCATATATATATAAATATGTGCAGAGAGATGTGTACATAGATCGAAAATCTCTCCCCGCCCCCCCCCCCTCTCTTTCAAGCTTCAACAGAATATGTCCGTCTATCTTGGCGAAACAAACACACACACACACATCAGAATGAAACAAGACACACATATGCACTCACACAAAGGGAGAGGGAGACAGAGACACTTTCAGTGCATTACACCTTGTTCAACAGCCAGAAACAAAAATAACCAAAAGCAAAAGAAAATAGTATTATACACAAGGCGCTGAAAATGAAATAAAAGAAAAAGGTGGAATCCGTAAACTGAAACAAACAAACAAGCAATGACGTCAAATGTCTGCTAACAATGGAAGATGATGTTAATGATGATGATGATGCTGTGAAGTAACAATCAAGGGACTAGATGAGATGTCGTTTATAGTGTGTGTGTGTGTGTGTAAGAAAGGATAGCAAGTTTATTTGATGAAGGAGGTTATTAAGTACATGGAAAGTGATTTTGTTTTCTGAACACTTACAGAAAAAACCGCTATCATCCAAAATTTCATTTCTGTATGTATGTTTATGAATATCAATCAAATAAATAAGTGTTGGTCAGAGTTTTATCAAACCAACAGTCATCATTTACAATGGAGTTATCGTATTAGACGACTTATGCAGATAACTGTTGTGATGATTAACAGTCAGCTCAAACAGCACAAACAGTAGGACATTGAAACAAAGCAACAATATTTTAAGAGGAACTGTGGTCAATAATTTTTATAACAAGTACAGCAGGGATATATATATAGTGTTGCGAAACAAAAATAAACAATAAATATAAATGGAAAACACTAGAAATTCCCGATCACATACAAGTGTTAAAGATGATTGCTAAACACAGCAATCCTCTTTATATTTTGCTTATAATACTCAACAGATATAAACAAAAAAAAATGTATTAACAAGTGAGAAATTAGTCATTGTAGAGTAGTAGTGGTAGTTATAATAATAGTGATAAACGAAAGCCCGATCAATGTTAATATGAACAGAATTGCCAGGTTAAATCTTGTTTGCAATATAACCAACTAATGCAACTAGCCCCAAGGCTCCAACAGCTCCAGTAGCAAATCCACCAACATTGCGTAATGTTCGCCAAATTAATTCTTGTCCATCATTTATATACTGATTACCAGTGAAATCAATTAATCCAGACTGTTGGAGAGAAAATAAAAATTGCACCGGAATAGTTGTAAGAAATTATGTATTATTCCTTTTAAATGTAGTCAATTTTGTCAATATTATAGCTTAAAGTAAGAAAGTCTTAGATTAAACAGATGAATTACGAAGGATTTCAAGCAAACATACTTACCAAATTCAGAAAACCAACTTCTTAAACAACCACTCACTAATCACTGATACATAATATTTGGATAAGTTGAACAACAACATTACAAAATGTATGAGACCGTTTGTTGTCAAGGTATGATGAAATGAAGTGTTGCTCAACAACCAGTTTGCGATTTCATCCAGTTGACAATGATCCAAACCCATTATTTGACAGCTGGTGATACTACCTGGCTGGCCAAACCTCCGTAGATGGAGAGGAGTTCGGATCCATGTCCCAATGCGGTTGAAAGTCGAGTGATTAGACTAATGAGTCAGAGGTCCCAGGTATGATGTTAAGCATACATCATTTGTCTTAGTGACTGAGTATGGATGGTTTACTCTACTAATAAACTCGATCAAATGAATTGCTATTCTGTAAGACTATGATCTCCCAAACGTTTCGCGAACAGAAACAGCTTAGGTGACTGCGTTACTACGTTTATAAGTGATTCCTATTGATTGATCTCAATTTTAGCCTCTCTTCATTGAATTAGTTATCTTTTAATATAGAACATAATGATATAATATCAATTGGCTGGTGACTTTTTGAATGCAGTTGTTTATTGTGTACAATCAGATCTAACGTAGTTTTAACAGTTCTCTAATTGCTAACTGTTAGATGAATAATAATGCAATACTTTGATACATTATATGTGCAAAATAATATGCAACCCTACTTCAGTGAAGTACAATTTTTATTACTTTATAAGATCAGCAAAAGTCGGCAATTTCATAAATACATCACAATGTGTAACAGTATTATTTGGTGGATGACGTTTCGAAAACAATTTACTCTTCCTAATCATATCAGTTGTAATTCTGCAACTTTGAAACTCGGTTTTTATAGTTTTGGTTTACCTTTCCTACTCGTCGTAAGGGTACTAGAGTTTTCCAGATATTCACTGACTCTCATGTCAATAAAAACAGGATTAGTAAAATTTTTAAGTAATAGGGTGAGACAGCTAATCAGTACCAGACAGACCCTAAGACAGAAAGTTACATAAAAGAAGCTTTCACGCTTTATGATTACCCTGATAAATTCATCTAGAAGCATATAAGAAATCATAAGAACAAAAATGAAACGACGATAGGTGAGATATAACCACCAAGATGACAGCACCCAATAGTGGGACTTGAAAACAATAGGAACCACTGAGAATTTGAGTAGAATTCTTAAAAGGCAAGAATAAAAGTGGCATTCAAACCTACAAACTCAGATAGGAACAATCTATGCCGCCTAAAGGATATTGGGGAATGCATCAAAGAAAACAACAGAGTTTATCTAAAACCTTGCAAAAATCGTGAGATCAAATACATAGATGGAAGTAGTAAACCGTTGTCAATCAGACTAGTGAACGACAAAAACCTGGCGAAATCCAGACTAGTAGAGTTTACTAAAATAAGAAATCCGAAAAAGGACTCAGCTAAAGCGTTTTAAGTAGTCACACTATCACACTACCAAAAACCCAAAATCTAATATAACAGAATGGAGGAAGAAATTGATAACTGAAGCTTTATTTATCAAATCAACTAAGAATAAATCCAATAGGAATGATTTAACATCTGTCGCGAACATCTGGAAAACTTCACTACCCCTACGAGAAATGGGAAAGAAGAGGACTATAAAAACCCAGTTCTGAAGATGTGCAGTTGCCCTTTAGTATGATAACAAACAAAGTGTCATCCAGTAAATAATACTGTTTTACTGTGTGATATATCTAATAAACACATTAATATCGAATTACATGATACTATAGTATTCGAATTTCCTACAAATAGATTGGAACTACTACTCCCAATAATCTAAATAATTGCAAAGACAAAATACACGGCCTGTAGTGATGCATATGCAGCAAATGACGCTGAAATTAAGACATTCTCCCCCTTGGATTGACGAGGATGGCTTAAATGTATGGTTGTGGAAACTAGACCTTCAAAGTAGAACTTCGTAATCCTACTGTGAGCTTTGCTACCTTCGGATTCCCAGACTCCCAGAAACGTAGAATAGAACACTTGATGAGCTTATTAAACCAGACGGTACTTCAGACATTTTACTTCCATATAGACTATTTTTGCACATAATCCCACATTTTTATTGATTGAAAAGCTCAGTAGCCTAAAGAACTTCATAAAGACATGACTTCATATTCTCGCTAATTTTGATATCATCATTCTCTAAGGTAGAACTAACGAGGAAAAATTAAGTGGGAAATTAATACAAGTTATGATTTCTTACAACACAGTGTAAAAAAATTGACCTACCCAACCATCATGAAGATTGATCCAATTTTTCAACTTTTCATCACAATATTTACTTGTTGTCTTCACAAGCATTTGTATTGCATCATTGTGTCCATGTTTTGATAACCTTAAAACTAATATGCGCAGAAATGCAAACATCGCTACAATACGTCCCCAATTTAACTTTTCAAATAATCCATCTAAGATTTCAATATAGGATGTTTCCAAAGCTATTGTATCAATCGGTTTATCTGAATCTATACCCAAGCTTTCAGCTACTGGTTCAACTTCACGTGTTTGACTGAGACGTTGATTAAACTCTCTTACTAAGTGAAGTAATGATTTGATGATTTCTGGTCCATTGGGAATGGAGCTTAATTCAGTAGTTGTATTATCAGCTAAATCAGTTAGGTAACTGGCATCTTGTTTATTTGCACTGGCTATTAAGAAGGAACGACAGAGTGTTAAAGTTTGTACGCGGAAATCCACAGTACTGGACATATCCTGAAATGTACGCAGTAAACGAATAGAAGTTACATAAATTAAAAAGCATATTTGTTAAAAATAAAAACTATGCCTGAGAGTGAAACGAAAGTTAAAGGATATTAAATATTAAAATAATCACACAGATGAATATTTCCTAACAATGTTGCTTGACAGACTAATCATATCCTCTATTTGAACTTGTGATTCCATGTGGTATAAAGCAGGTAAACTGAAGATAAATTTGCAGTGCTCAAAAGCTCAATGACAACGTTGGAATAACACCGAAGTTACCCCAAAGTTTAAAATTACAAAAGTACGAGTTAATGGTTCAAAATAAAACTTTGAGTAAATTACCATACTCTATAAAGCACACATAAATCTACATAGAAAATAAATTGAAAAAAGAAAGGAAAATGAAGAGGAACTATAATGACTCAGAATACCGAGAAAGAATCAAAATAATGAGGATTTAATACATCCGGAAAATTGCACACAGTGAATGCGTCTGCGCTACTGAGAACCATTTTGAGCCATGCCTCTAACAGTCCACAACCAATAGTTTTCAGCACCATGAGGACCCCAGCCAGGCAGTCTTTATCTCCCTACGAAGTTCGAACCAATAGTCGCTGAGTGATTCACTGGCTTCAACATAGAACTTTGCACACAAGTACAGCAGGTCAAGTTGCCATACTCCATGTAGCATACTAAGGAAGACAAAAAAGACTCGAAAGAACGATAAGAAGTAGAAATGTAGGGCAGAAAGGATAGTAATCAGTATGGCAGATAACAGAGAGTGAATTCATCAGTGCCACAGAGAACGATTTTGAGCTATATCACCAATTGTCCCCAGACACTGGTTCTTAGAATCCCGAGGACCACAACCAGGTAGTCTACACTTCCTTACATGGCTCAAACTAACTTTTCAAAATCTATGGACTGATTCCAAGTTTCGCTTTCACCACCTCTAGCTTTTTTCCAACCTGATCTAATATCAGCTAACATTACCCGTCGAGGAAGGCGATGGATAGGCATGAGTAATATATGTCCTAGCTATGATGAATAGTCAAAAACTCCATGGAGTGATTGCATTTTTTGATATGATTACCTCTAACTCTCTTCCAACCTAATCCGATATCGACTAACAAGGTTCAACGAAGTGGACAATTGGGTTATCATGAGGTTTCACGATCTAATCAATCGACTTCCCCTTCTCATAATTGATATTTATGTGAACAGTTCAGTCACACACAATGCACCTAACACAAAACAGGCACACTGAAAGCTTTCACTACTATTAACGAAGAAATTTCAATTACATTTGGGTTTAACGAAGCTACAGTCATCAAACAAATGCACGGAAATAAATGGAGATCGTTTTCGTACTACCTTAGTGACTGAGTTTCAACGCAGGACCTGGCACAGAAGTGCAGTGGTCCAAGTTGCCACACTTAGTGTCTTTACGGAAGTTTGTGGACAGTTATTGCCTCCCAGTTGATTTTTAGTCGGGGTACTTGGAAAAGAAGCAGTATTAGTGTTGCGTTAGCACAAAGCCAAGGACATAATTAATTGACATCAGTCACACACGGTCTGTTTGAAGTAGTTTTCGGAGTTTCGTCCGTAGTAAGACCTTACCGCCGGTAACTGACCCTTGCATAGTACAATTTTAAAGGTCGACCCTCCCCAGTACCCCACTCCACAGCACTGATGAGCATAGATCCTTTACCGTTTACCTGAGGGAAACACCACTGACGTCTCATCCCTATTCCACACGACACGACATCACCCAAAAACCCCCCAACATAGTGTAAACGACTTACACTATGATAACCGCGCTCACCTGAAGATATCCAGATGATATTTCTGGCATGGTAGGACCCGTAGCAATATAAATTCCAGCCAGAGTAGCTCACTGGGTCATTGAGGTATGCAAGCCGAACCACTACGCCAAGGTAGCAACTATCGGTCGGGAGAATGACCACCGGCTAGGATAGAACTTTAATTCTACAATCACACGATTATGAAGTCGATGGTAGGACTAATCAAATTTAATTTAAATCATTTCACTTAATGCTAAATATTGCGCTGAAGATGTTGTCCAGAAGGACGACGAAAGCTCCGCAACCAAACCAACCAGCTCAGAGAACACTATTAATTGCAAAACTAATTAATACAAGAATTTAAGATTACTTTTATAACTAAGTCTCAGATAAGAGTTTTCAACGGGCAAGTGAATGTAAAGAATAACGACCCAAACAATGTCAATCAAAACCGACGAATAAATATATGAACAGAACCAAATAAAGACTTAGGTTAGAAGTACTATAAAAGTACTGGTGTGCACTCTAAATTAGCATAATAATTAGGGTTTGTACCAGGGTTATGAGTCAAGTTAGGATCTGCAATGTCGCAGACTACTAAGCTTTCGTTTGACAATCAACGTTACTACTACTTCAAGTACTACTACTAGGTAGTATGTGACAGTGTACTTCGTGTTGGAATTTTAGTTCTAGCTGCAATATCAACTCCTTAGTTATCCTAATCCGGCACGCTTGTTGGTCAACACAGGATTGGAATCCCCACCACGGGTTGGGAAGAATCACGCAAGGAAATCACATGCAGAAGTAACTTAATCACAGGACCATTTGCTTTGAAACAACAAACCACGTGAACACTGTTTACGGTTGCCATTAGGTTATGGAGATAGATGCAACATTTAATGTACGTATCGCAGTTTAAGCACTCTAAAAATGTCAAAAAGATGATACAGTCACTTGAGATTGAATTCTAAGGTATACTTGCGAATTGCACTAAAATCAGACAGTGATTACTTTATTTTAAGTGTACTTTAAGTGAGATTTGAAAAGCTCTGAGACTCCAACTTTAGTCTGTAAGTCATAGTAACCCATAGATGAACACTACTTCTTGATGGTTATCATTTCCGGAATATTAATCTGACTGAAGTTTTACGACCTGTCCAGTGCAGTGTTCAACAGAACACCATGGATCATTAGTGTAATTGCTCTAAACTGATTATTTCTTGGGACCTGCGTCTACAGATGATGCTACTATCACCGCCAGCCTCACTATGAAGCAAACATGGTCTTTTCCCAAAAGGATTAGCGTAAGCTTTCACGCAATTTCATATATTTGTATATATAATATATATATATATATATTTCATCGAGTAATCTAAGTAAACAAACAGATATGGAGTAACATGACACAGTAATGTCTCAGTTCCACTCAGATATAAATAAGTGTACATGGTCAAGAACTCTCAACCATTGGAAATGCATTTCACATGAACATATACGCACTGTTCGAGAGATTTTCCTACTATTTTATGACAAATACTAAAGATACCCAGGACTAAAAATGCCAAGAAATTAACAATGTCCACGAGCTAAACGCCAAATGGCTGCAGACAATATGAATATAATCAGAAAACTCAGAACAATAATTTAACAAAAGATTTCTGCAACCACTGAGGTAAAATATGAATACTAAGGTATGAAAAAAACCCACTGGTATTATGTCATCAGATTTAAATGTGAGAAAGTCACTTAAACACGAATATTCGTACAGGAATCCTACGGAACACAACGTCCGGATGGAATTTTAGTATTGTAACACTGCCCGGAGAAAACCGCGCACTTCCAATATCCAATATCGTTTTTACGAGCTAGTGTAAACCAATTTGATTTCTTTGTGCTCACTTCTTGGTTGTGAGGTAGAAATTCCTGGTCTTCGATAAACTTCCTCGTAGTTCATCCCACCACTCGATTTTCATAGCTTTGATTGACTCCAAGAGGAGTGGTGTTGGGAGTAATTACATGTAATTTCTGGTATGTGGTTAGTTAAGACCGTGTTGCTACTGTGGATGAAGTTGATCCTTTCACTAGTTACTCGTCCGGTGTGGCTGAAAAAAGAGACAACAAAAGTGATAACTGATATTATCATTATGATAAGTTATGTCGGAAAGAAAGGAAAGAAAGAAGACCTAAAAGCAGACAGCTTATGAAATTTGAAATTGATATAGATATATATACCTTTTATAGTGCATGTTTATACGTATATATATCATTAATAGTAATAGTGTAAGGGACGTAATAGATGGAGTAGTCAGGAGAGTAGGACAAGGGAGAATGTGAAGAAGTAAGATGATGAATTTAGGTGTATACACATTAATAGTGTGTCAGTTTTAAAGGGATAGGTCGTTTGGAGGCAGTCCTTGTGTCGCTGCATGATTGTCCAGCCTCCGCTTAAGACTGCCCACAGACGGTGTTGTAGTCACATCTTAGTGGCAGAATACCTTTGTTTGTATGATTCTGCTCATTTTTAATCCTATGGGCAGTAATTAAGTGCCCCCTAAACTGACAGTAGGTTAGACCAAATTTCTTTAGCTGTTCATCATGTGGTTTGCTTCGGAGACCTATCAGCCTTTTTGTCGCTCGTCTTTGGACTCTTTACAAAAGGTCAGCGTCCCTTCTAAGTGTTGGTGAAGAAATAATATTGTGCACTTCAAGGTATGGTTTGACGTATGTTTTGTACAACCTTAGAAAGAGCTCAAGAGTGGGTGCACTCAACTGCCTATGTGTAAAGTGTGCAACCGTATATCCCCCCCAATATATTCCAAGTGTAATTCACGTTGGTATGCATCTTTTCTTTTAGAACTAGACTTAAGTCACTCTCCGACGTTGCGCAGAGCAAGTTACACAGGGAGTGACTTACATTCTTCAGCCTAAAGGTGCGTAGTTGCATTAGTTTGCATTTTATAGGTTGAAAGTCATACCACTGACTATCTCCCTGTCTTCCGGAATTTTTAGGTCTGTTCGTAGCTAATCAGCGTTATCAAAGAATTTTGTTGACCACCAAATTTTCAAGTTGTCGGAGCAAAGAAGAGCTGGGCAGTTTAGACAGCATGGCAAGTCACTGATAAGAATCAAAGACATCCGTGGCCTAAGGTAGAACTCTGCCATACTCTGGATGCCGAACTTTGCCAAGATGATCTGACACGACTGACCTCGGGCAGAATTACCTTTCGTCTAGATACTTCTCCAACCATGATAGAAGCAGCCCAACCATAACTGCCTGACTTATTTTGAGTAGGAGAAGGTCATGGTGAACTGTGTGGAATGCCGTCTCAAAGTCTAGAAAGACCATACGGACTGGAACACTCATATCCCAGCATGACGTCCAATCATTCCAAGCTGATGGGAAGTTTGTCATACAGAATCTACCTCTCGTGAAACCTTGTTGTGCTTAATGGACCATGTTAGTCCTGTCGAGGTGTTACTTGGTGTGATGAACCAGATATTCTAATACTTTTGGTACCACTTGGATTAGTGCCACTGGCTTATAACTCGTGGCATTTTGCCCATCCCCACTCTTGAAAATAGGAAAAAGGATAGCTCTTCTCCAGTCCCTTCGCAGTTTTCCTGGCCCCGGTGAGTGTTGGAACGGGTCACGTAAGGGCCTACAGATAGCTTCCGCGCACTATTTCGGAACAGTTAGCCCGATGCCGTTATAACCTGAGGACTTTCCAGATGTGAGTCTCTGCAACTTCCATAGTACCAATGCGGGTTTTGTTTAGAGCGTAGCCACTATGTTTTCCTTCGGTAGAACAGCAGCGCCGCCTTTTTGGCTTATACCGGTAATACTCACATTGCTACTAGAGTCACAGAAAGCACCGTTTCAGGCGCAGGCAGAATGGACGAAGATGTCAAAGTCAGAATCGGAAATAATAATAATCACTTTATTCCACAACAATAACAATTTACAGCATGGAATTTTCAGCGTTTCATTTTACATATTGCATTGGTTTAGCTCTTTTTATAATTATATAAATGTATGAAATGTTAAAAATATTGATAATTAATAGGAAAAAATAAAACCCCAACAAAATCACACCATTTCTAGGTCATAGTGAATAATAAATAAATAATATAACAAATCACACACGCAATAATATGCGTCATTGCATTTTATAGTTTAGTTAATGATTTAATAGTTGTAAAAGTTCTTTTCTGATATTCGTCTCTTCACACAATACTCGTGCCAAATATGGTACGGTCGAATTTTTATATTTTGTAGTACGAGCATAAATGTTTGTGAAATTTCTTCTGGTCTTACCCGAGGAGATACAAGGAAACAAATGTGAATAAAGAGGATGTTCACTATCAGACAAAATAACTTTAGCTAAGTGTTTACAAGAATTCATGTGCCTATTGACAACAGTGTCGGTTAGTTGAGTCAAAGGGATAGCACTGACCCTACTTACAGCCTTCAATGTTCTTCGTAGTATTATATGGTCTTTCTTGAGTAGCCCAGGGAAGAATGATGGAGAACAATAAAGAATGATGGGCAAAACAAATGAATTAAGACAAGATATGCCTTCACTAACCTGAAACCAGTCAGTATAAGAAACAAGATTCTCATTTTAAACACCAATGTGAAGTCGGTTCTTCCATACGGGTTAGAAACTTGCACTGTGTGTCACGAAAAGAACTTCCAACAGGTTGCAGACTTTCATCAAAAGCTGCCTTTGCTGGCTTCATACTGGAGATCGAATGGCCGGAAAGACTAAGCAACAAGAATTTATGGGAATATACCAACCAGGAGCCGATCGTTCAACAAATGTGTAGGAGAAAGTGGAGATGTATCAGGCATACATTGAGGAGGCCACCGAATGACATTGCACGCCAGGCCCTCGATTGGAATCCAAATGGGAAGCGACGAGTGGATCGTGCTAGGATGACATGGAAGAGATCGTGTGAGGGAGGGACCAGAGAGTTTGGTCAATCGTGGACCCAGATGAAGAGGACGGCAGAAAACAGAACAAAGTGGAAACGTGTTGTTGAAGCCCTATATTCCACTCGGAACACAAGGGAATAATAATATTTAAATGTTTGTCAAAGGCTGGGCTGAATGTTCCAGCCATTTCCAAACTAGTGAGATGTGGACTGTTTGGACTTAATAAGGCACATTCCCCCTGTTTGGTAAGTTTCTCCCCGACATGAATCGGTACAAACTTTCAGGGTTGTCCAGGAGTTTTTGGCCAGGTTTGCCTTAAATGACCTCCTGTCACTACTGACCCTTGTGTTGCACCAACCACTGAGTTCCGGGTGTGATTCGTGACCGCTCTGACTCTTGGGGAATCTCTATTTAGACCAAGCTTTCCGCTATACATGCAGAATATGTCGCGTACATCTATTCATTAATGAGGATCTTTCCTTCAGCTGTGTTGTGACTAGGTTGACGGTATCTGAGATTGCTGTGTGAACAGTCTGTTATACCACTTCCCAGTGCTCTTCCACAGATAACTCTACCCAGTCCATGGGCGGTTCTGCGTTGGAAAAAAGTCTTCGCATTTCACCTTTGTTGTAGTACAGATGTGGCCGCCCAGCGTCCCACTGTAAGCGCTTGCGAAGAACAAGATTAAACCCTATGACTTTGAAGCCACTAATCCCTAGGGAAAGTCACGATTTGGAAATTTTCGACTAGTAACTGGTTGCTAGTTAGGGTGTAATCTGGTCTCGATGACTTTCCACTAGGTCCACACCTATTGTCGTATCCGAAATTCTCAGTCACCTCTGCACTTCTAGTGGTTTGCAGCAGTTTTCGACCGAACTTTTCCCGGGCATGTCCCGAGCGAAGGTTAAGAGGTGATCCACTGAAGTCTCCAGTCACAGTGACCTAATCATCATCCGTATCCCTGCGGTGCTACCGAGCAGTGGCTGGCTGTGCTCCGCCCCACAGATAGGTAATCGTTAGATGCCACCCAGTAAATGCTTAGTGTGACATACGGTGAAATGATATCAAAAAGAGTCTTGGAGTTCAGTAAGTAGTGTGTCCGTTGCACGTACGCATCGAAGTCGCTCGTCAAATTACGTGACAACTCCCCCTTCCTTTTTACTGCTGTTTCGCCAGACCAGAACCATATCGCTTATGCTGCTTTCATGGTCGACAGTAGTAGGGATTAGCCAAGTTTTTCGGGATTATTATTTTGAGATGTAGATGTGATCGGAGGATTCTTGGTTCGGCTGTTTTTCCTCTCAGCCCTCTCACATTGCTGCACGGAAAGCTAACGGTGAGCCTCACCAATTCAGGGTGTTGTGGACTATTTGGCACCAAATAGGCCGAGATAGAGAATTTAATATTGGAACAAGTTGGACGATTCCGATGGAGCCGAACTGCTGTCGTTTTCTTCCCGGGGTTCAGTTAGGACATTTGGGTGATCCTGGCTGTCGTTCTCAGCGCCGTACTTCTGTAGTATCACTGAGACATGGGGTGTATTGTAACCTCAGTTTGCTGCCTCCCTAAGGTCTGAAATCGACTTTCACTGCATCGGATATATCCTCCGATTTTACCCTTGGTCTCATACCACCGTTGAAGTACTAGAGTTAACTGCCATCTCCATTGCTGTGCGCCATTTGTGTGTTTTCCACAAGCGGTGCCAGTTTTCAGCTCCAGAACGCTGTGTATGATCATGGTGGTAGAGGGCATCAGGCCCGGGGACTCCCCGGACGTTTGCGTGTGAGCCAATCAGGTCCTACGCTTATGTGGGAACTACCTTCGATAGCTAGCTTTTGCGCCAGTAACAGTAACCTTTCGTCCTCTTCGGTAGGTGGCCTACATTGAGACGCTTGAACACCCCTGTACAGTTTGTGCACTTTTACTGAATTCATGTTCAGTCCTAGTCTACTGCACAGAGTAGACCAGTGTTCCTGACCAAGTAGACTGCTGTTGCACACTGGTACATTAAACAGGATAAAGCAGTTTGATCGACTGACCTCAGACCTAGGTTTATTCTGTGGCTGCTTGCCCTCCTT